AAACCTATTAAAAAAGCATTTAAATATCATCTTACTAAGATATATTATTGGCAGATATAGAGTGATGACTGATGTTTATATGCATTTTATGTAAGTACTGTATCTGCTGTACTGTTATAAATATCTCATTGATTTACATTCAAGCATCAGAATTTCATCTTACTTTTTGGCCATATTAATATCAGCATCTGCAGCAAAATGAGAATTTCAGCAGTAATTGCTAAATGTAGGAGTTTTTTTCCTCCTTAAGTGTGAGATCCATATTCTCACTGTATCATGAGTGTTATGACCCTATGGTTTGTTTGTTTGTGTTTTGTTTTCTTTGTAGGAACGTCGTCTGATTGGCTCCTGCAGGCTGATTGATGCTGTCTCCTGATTGGTGCACAGTACTTTAAAAAGCACGTCATCACTTCCTGTAGAGACAGCTTGTGTTGTGAGCAGAGAGAGTTGCACTGGAGGCAGAGTTTGTATGTGTGTGAAGAAGAGAGTTTTAGAGACTGTGAGTAATGATTGTTTGTGTTTGGTGTATTTGCTTATTTTCTGACACTGATTTCAGATTGCCCTCTCAATTTGTCAATAACACTTGGCTTTTTAAATATATTGTAAATATTGAGGATTGGAAAGTAAGGAGTCTGATGGCATTTGTTTATTGTGAACTTTTCTGGCGAGGCAGTTTAGTGACGGGCACTTTTGAAACGCACTTCATGAAGATTCAAAAACTTGGCGACTCATTTGTTTTGAACCACTGAATCAAAGTGTGTATCAAGCTGCCAAAATCACATAAATGAGGCTTCATTACGTCATACGTTTTAAAATTTCCATAATTTCTGTAAACTTTGTACGGAGTAGTTTGTACGTTGTAGTTAAAGGTCTCTTATTTATTACTGATACTGATTAACCAAACTCTCCATAGAACAACAAGCCCAACAATTCAATGAAATGACACATATTATAAAGACACTTCATGTTTAATGGTATATGATGATTGTTGCATCTAATAGATTACCTTCAATAAACCATCTACAAATGTTTTGTAGCCTAAAAGGTGTTCTTGTTTTTTTGCATGTTGAGTTTTCGCTGCATTTACACTGTTCTGACCAGCAGGGGACGCCAGTGTGTGGCGATTTAAAATTGATTCAAAGTTTCAAAAAGTTTTGTTTCTCCCATTACTAAGACCATTGTGTTCGTGCATTGTATTTTCTTTTTGTTAGATTTAGGAAAGGGTGATAAAACTAACAACTATTTTGGCTTTGTCATGTCTTTCATATTGCACCCTTTTCCCCAGATGGGGCGCAACAATGAGCTATAAAAGCCTGATGTATCAAATATGGTCCAAAAAGCTTTGCAAACTATTTTTAGTTTGTTTTTGTTTTTTTGTCTAAAGGTTCAACAAATTGTTCCAAGTTTAAAATGTGTGTGTGTGTCTATTTAACTATATTTTGGGGGCAAATTTGTACCCAGAAGTGACCAAAACCTCCATTTAGGCACGTCCTCATTTGTAAATCTGGTATAAAACTAAAAAAAGTAATTAAAAGGGGTTTTTTAATGCAGAAAGTTGTGTGTGATGGGTAGGTTTAGGGGTAGGGTTAGTGTAAAGGGAGGGAATATACAGTTTGTACAGTATAAAAACCATTACGTCTATGGTTGTCCCCATTTAGATAGCTAAGTAAACGTGTGTGTGTGTGTACCTTGTGTATCCCAGAGCTCTTGCGGTCTCCAGCGCGGTGAGGCTGCGTACCCCTCTCACACAGTACAGCACAAAGTCTGAGTCTTCTCTGTGAGGCTTTGTGATGCCGTAGAGCTCTCTAAACTGATCTGGGCTCAGTCTGAGGGCCTGCTCCACCTCTCTCACTACATCAACAAAGGTACTGTCACTCATAAAGTGTGTGTGTGTATAGAGCTGAACTGTGTGACTTACAAGGAATGTTGGTTGCTCCTGGAATGAAACCTGCTTCCAGCTCATGCGGCTCGCGGACATCGACGAGCTGGACGCTTCCAGTGGACATCATGAGCTTCAGCTGCTCGTACGTCACCACACCATCTGAAACACACAACACGTGAGTGTCCACAATCTACTGCTGATGATTCATATCCAGTCTGTTCTATCTATACAGTCATTACACACTCATCACTGGATATCTGATATTTTGGTTATTGATAAATCCAGATATATGAACTACAGCAACTCTAAAAAAGGTTCAAGTGATTTGCCAAAACGATATCTATTGCTTTATTTCACACCTAACACATTTTTTGGGGGGATTGGTAAACATATTTTTTTTTAAAAGCCTCTTCTGCTCACCAAACCTGTATTCATTTGATCAAAAACACTGTAAAAACTAATATTATGACATATTATTGCAATTTATTTTTTACTTAATTTATTTCTGTGATCAAAGCTGAAATTTCAGCATCATTACTCCAGTCTTCAGTGTCACATGATCCTTCAGAAATCACTCTAATATGATGATTTACTGTTCAAGAAACATGTATGATTATTATTATCAGTGATTCATTGATTAATAGAAAGTTTAAAATAACTATTTAGCCTATTTAAAATAGAAATATTTTAAACATTATAAGTCTCTGTTATTGTCACTTTCGATCAATTTAATGCTTTCTTAAAGGTATTCATTTCTTTAAAAAGTTATTAAAACAAAATCTCTTGCTGAACCCAAAACTTTTGAATGGCAGTGTGTGTTGTATCTAAATACTTTATGGGAGCGCTTTATTTAGATCTAAACTTGATTCTAGTGGTGATGGTTTATCATTCAGGCCATCGTGAGTGTGATTGTCAAATAATGTCCTAGAAAAAAAAAATCAGCTCATTTAAAACATTAAAGAGAAAGGATATGTATATGACAATGCTAAAAAGAGGGTTGGGCCTCCTATAGAAATGTTCATTTTTTTTTATTTAATCTGTTTACCTTATATTTCTTTGTTATATTTAAATCAATATTGTGACTCCCCTGTCTTCAAAGAGTCAATTCTTAAATTCCTTATTTTGCCCTCCGGCCCTGATAAACTGCAGAGTTATCAAAAAATGTGTGTAAACTCACGGGAATCTAGATTTTCACACACAGTAAATGCTGATTCAGTGACTTGAATCCGTTATCTTCACGTGTGTCACAACTAAACCAATATACTCCCTGTGGGAAACGGGCTTGTTAAGTTGGTTTTTACTACCAATTTGTTTTCACCAAAAATAAACGTAGCGTATTAATATGATATAGTTATTATGAATATCACAAACCTGCCAAGAACACGCCTGGATCAGAATAAATAACATTTAAGACTATATTATTTTTAGACATTGTTCTGATAATTAATCATTGGCTTTAAATAGCCTATGACATCTGCATTTTTTAATTGCCATGTTATTACTTGCATTTTGCCATCAGTACCTGCTGAAAAACCAGTTTAAAGCATTTGTATAAACTTCTGAGCATTTATATTCTATATCCCTCTTTAAGGCCTACAAGTGCATGAACTTTAATGTGCAACTGTCTGGAATTCTCGATATATATTTAATGCAAAATGATCGAATCACTCTGACCTTATAAAGATACCTATGGAAGCCCTTTTCTTCCACTTAAGAAAAGAAAAATCATGCATTGGTAAATTATAATTACGACATTTAAAAAGTGATGAGATACAAATTTTCATGGATACAAAGATCCATAATTTCTAGAAGTCACAATTATGATTTACTAAAGCATGACTTTTTTCTAATGTGGTAGCATAGATCAGACTTGTTATTGCATGATGCAACATTAAACCTTTATTGGTGACCCATGAGTCACTGACCCTACGTGCAAACTCGCATGCTGTATCCTACTGTGCGTGATGTTATGTTATAATCACAAAATGATTTTGTTTCGGATATAGGCCAGTGATTATTAACTCAATACTAACTCAGAAAACTCGATACTTTACCTCTATTTAGAGGTTGGTTGTTAGATGTTTCAGTCCATTTATCGCAGTTGTCAGCTCCGTTATCACACTTATTTGCTGACACAGACAGAAGCAGGAGCGCCACGAGAGCGCGCACACCTGAACTCACGCGCATTACTGTATTCATGTCTATCTTGTCTAAGAGAAGATCGATGCGTGCTCGTGTACAGATAGAATTAAGTCTAAAAAGCGTGGACTAAAGCAGCGTATTGGTTTGACCATGTATCATCTACGACTGAGGCGAATACACGGATCTGAGTGTCACTGACAGCGTTTATTGTGAAACATGAAGCAAGTTTTTTCCTACAGGTGGCGCTCAGTGGCTCAAAAGCCGCTTTTATTTATGTGGGCGTTTTATGATTTACTGGAGATGTTTCACTATAATCGTTTAAACCTATTAATTAAAATGAGCAATATCTGTAAAAACCACGAAACTTGTCCAAAACCATTCATTCAACCGTAAATGCAATTTAAAACAAATCCTTATGTAGTAGCTAATCACAATCGACTGTGGTCGGTTTTGAATCTGAAAAGCGCTGAGATTTGCAACACTTACCTCGTGACTCTGTCGCTTGTATTTCTACTTCTGCACTGGTCTGGACAAATATTTAACTCTTTAATAATGGCGGTAAGGAATTTTAATAGCATGTCAAACGGGAAAGTTTACAATGTGTAATTAAAATGGTAAAAGTTGTAAATTCCATTGGACTTGACCAATCAGAGCGAACGCATGGGCTACTAAGTCCCGTCCCCAATTGTTTTTTTTTTTTCTGCTCATTTTTGTGCTCGTCCTCCCTCAGATTAAACTAAAAAGAAAAGAGGAAAGAACCATTAGAGATCCAATGTTATATTTCATAAATATATTTAACTTTAAAAACTAACAATATTAGCTTTATATATGACTTAGCTATATATCATGTTACGGTTTTAGCCTAATTTTATAAAACAGTTTTTTTTATCCTCCCCCCGCCTCTTCTGAACACATGGTATATTCTGGTGATGATGGCTGACTCATAGTCATATGATCTAAGCAGCATAAATACTGTAGCAGTGTCAGTGCTTTCTGCGAATTTGGACTGTCTGAACTCGCACTTTTTTACCTCTCGACACCGATCAACGACACATTATTGCAATGGCCACCAAAATGGTTGTTGGAGGGCTCTCCGAGGAGAAGAAAGCCACTCCAGAGGTGCAGAAGATCTGTGATGAGGTGAGACTGATTTTTTACTTCTGTTTTGATTAGGGCTGGGGTAAACGATTATTAATTAAACGATTAGTCTGTCGATTATTTTATCGATTAGTCGACTAATCTAATGACTAATTGAACGATTCTTTTTTGTAACATGGAAATTGCAGGAGTGCACATTCAATGCACAACAATTTTGATCTGGTTCTTACAGAGTATCTACACTGTAAAATGTTTGGTAGGCTACTCAAATGAGCCCTATCACACTTGGATGTGGTGCTCATTTTAATGTTTTCAGTGCTCATAAAAAACATCTGGACTGATTTTTCGGTTTTGTTGACGGGGGTGGGGTTTACATGCGCTTCATAAGGCACACACGCACACTTGCACACACACGCAAGGTCTCTCGCTCTCTCCCTCGCTGCCGCGCGCTACACGGTTTGGAGCTCGCGAGCTCTAGATTCCGGGAGATTTGAACTAATTTGCGGTCATCAGGGAGCCGCTATCACTATGCGGGAGACTTGGGATGTCAACTCCATTTGACAAAGAGCGCAAATAACGACACCTTTACGTTTGGGACTAAATTTGAAGTATTCCCATACCTTCGATGATTTAGTGCGAGCTGGGTTTTTTTAGGACTTTTTCTTTTGTTGGGACTTTTGCATGACTTTGTTGTGAATTCTGTGAAGAGGTTGCTGTTTCGTCCTCGATTCTGCAATGTTTCGGTCTCCCACGTGTGTGTGGCGAGCTGTACCGCCGGGAACGGTGCAAAAAAATAAATACATAAATAAAGAAGCGTCGACAAAAAAATATGACGTCGACGAATTTTTGACGTCGAAGGACGCTCCGCTACAGGCCTAGTTTTGATGGCGTAAATCAGCTGACGTGGGAGTGCACGTGATGTTTATTTATTAGTTAGTATTAGCTATTTATTAGTACCGTATTCAGAAGTTTGTACGTTATTATGCTATATGTACATACAATATTAAAATAAATAAAAAATAATATACAACTATAAACAGTCAACCACCTTAATATTTATATATTTCATTATTATATTAAATTAACTTGCATTGTGTGATGCATTATGGAAGAATGCTTTAATTTAATAGCTAGTCGTCAAAGAGACAATTATTAAACTCTCAATTTTGCCTAAACCTGATATACAGTGACAATAGTGCAAAGTTAACAAAAATGAATGCATTACTTACTTTATATACTCAGGCCCCATCCACACTACTGCGTTTTAGTTTAGAAACGGAGAATTAAAACGAATACGATCTCCGTCCACACCAGCGTTTTAGCTGCGTATTAGAATTGATCTCCGTCCACATTAAAACGACTGAAAACGCGGATCACGTGACCATTCACCAACACTGGGCATGCGCGTGCCGGTGTAAACACAACTTCAATGATAAAATGATCCCACCATGCTCTGGGTTAACCCGAAACCGACGCTCCATGTACGGTCAACGCCGCCGCTGCACACGGGAATTGTCACAGATCGCTCGAATAATAGCTTGACTCCGGCGCATGTAGGCAGTTATAGCGTTGTAAAATGCAGAATTTACTTGTACAACAGCTGCTAGCAAAGATATACGCCATGACTGATGACACCCAATCATAGAGCCGAGCGCGAGCCTCTACTACGTCATCGTTTCTAAAGTCCTCCGTTTTGACCCGTCTACACTAAAACGCCCTCCGGAGATTCAAAACGAAAAACGGGTTGGCAGCGTTTCTAAACTTCTCCGTTTTGGGTCTCCGTTTTTGCCGTTTTAGTGTGGACGGGAGGTGCAAACGTAGCAAAAGGTCTCCGTTTTTAAACGAAAACGCAGTAGTGTGGACGGGGCCTCAGTCTCTAGACTCATGAGAATCTCTATATACTCACCCAAACACAATAAATACTGACTCAGCACCACTAATCTTCAGTAGGTGTTGGTTTGAGATGGGTGTGACACGGTAATTCATCAAATACTCTGTGTGAAAGAGTTTACTACTTTTTTTTTTTTTTTTTTTTTTTTTTTTGAAATGTAGCATAAGAATATATAATAATGTAAGAGTGAATATTATATCATAGTCTGTATCAAAAGGGGGAAAATAAATTATATTTTTATAAAAAATCACTATTTGAACTTTGTCGTCACTTCAAAGTTGACAAACATTAATTTATTACTTTGTCATTGCCTAACCTCATGAGAATTTCTATATTCACACCTGAACACAAACTAATCCATTGGTTTGAGATGGGTCGGGTGCGTCGCAGTAATTCATCATACTCTGTGTGAAAGGCTTTTTCAGTTGGTTTTTGCTACTTTTTTATAGATGTAGATTAGGGGTGGAACGGTACACAGAAGTCACGGTTCGGTTCATACCTCGGTTCAGACATCACGGTTCGGTACGATTTCGGTACAATGGAGTGAAAAGCAAAACAAAAATGCAGAAGGCATTTTTATAAATGTCTTAAACCTTGTATTTTTTTAAATAAGTTTTATTAATAAAGGCATAGAACCAGTTTATTTGTAGTGCACTGACAGTAGTTTTATATAATTAGTTTATTAATTAAATTATTAAAAAGACGAAAAGACCTTGAGATATGTTTGGTAATTGTACCTGAATGAATTTAAAATTAATTTGCTATTTCAGATCAAGATATTTGTTTTCCTTCATTTTAATTAACTAACTTTATTCTCATCTGAATTATAAATAATTGATTTCCGTATAAAATAATACTACCATAAAAACTTTTGTTAACAGTTGTAGGTTACAGTTTGACAAGAGTTTAGAGCAGTGGTCTCAAACTCACGGCCCGCGGGCCATTTGCGGCCCGCAGGGTGATATTTTGTGGCCCCCTACTTGACATTAAAGTTTAATGTTAGTGCGGCCCGTCGTTGCGTGTGCCGCGTTTTAAAAAAAATATTTTTTTTTTTTATCCCTTAAAGGGCTACCATAGATAGTCTCGTGACACGGTGGGTTTGTTGTCAATAGTTGTCATAGACAACCGCGAAGTACAAACATATTGCGCCTGGAAAAAATGAGCGCGTCGCTTAAATTATGAGCGCGCTTGCCGCGCGCCTACATTTGAAATAACGAACTTGAGCGCGCAAAATATGTGAGCGCGATATGTGAACAGGCCCCTTGGCGAGCTACCACCAATCAGACCACGAGCTACTGGCAGCTCGCGAGCGACGTGTTGGAGAGAGACCCTGCCCTAAAACAATGTGAGAATAATCATTTTGAGCTTGTAATATGTGTCCAACAGGTTCATAAGAAGGTTTGCTTTGATTTGTGCAGTCAGTAATTTGAGACACTATACATGTGAAAGAATTCAATAAGACGGGCAGACATGACTGCAAATATTTGTATTTCAAAAGCAATAATTGTTTTTCTAAGTATAATAAAAGGAAATGTGCCTTCAAAAAAACAAAAAAACATTCAATATCATTAATGTGTTGTATAAAGAAAATAAAAAGGACATAAGCAAATATAAATATCACAAATATGTGTTATAGACAAAGAAAGTTTGTAAAATGAACTTCAACTGTCAGAAGGACAGCTCATAAAGAACCAATCATGTACAGAAAGGAATGTTCAAATTCAGAGGAACAGTTCAGAAGAAACGTTAATAATAAATATTGAGAAGATTGGATCAGTTGTGCTCCTTTTTTGGAATACTTGAATACTATTTTTTTGTGGAATACTTGATGCGGCCCAGCCTGACCCCGACTCTACCTCCAGCGGCCCCCAGTTAAGTTGAGTTTGAGACCCCTGGTTTAGAGTGTGACAAAAGCACAATGTTGTGTTTTATTGCCAGTGTACACAAATATAAGTAAACAATTTGCAGTTTTAATGATGTCCTGTATGGAAAAAAATGACGGAGTATGTTTTTACGTTTCCACTGTTCGATCGCCCATGCCTCTCTCTCTCACACACACACACACACACACACTGTTCATCGCGCGATTCGCGCCCGCGCCTCTCTCTCTCTCTCGCGCGCGCGCGCACACACACACACACACACACACACACTGTTCATCGCGCGATTCGCGCCCGCGCCTCTCTCTCTCTCGCACGCGCGCGCACACAGACACACACTGTTCGATCGCGCCTCTCTCTCTCTCGCACACACACACACACTGTTCATCGCGCCTCTCTCTCTCTCTCTCTCTCTCTCTCTCTCTCTCTCTCTCTCTCTCTCTCTCTCGCGCGCGCACACAGACACACACACTCCTGCATTGCAATCTTGATCGCAGCCTGTTCATTGCTGCGTTAACAGTCACACCAAAAGCGAAATTTATCGCTATTTAAGAGTTTTTTTTATTTATTTGTACCGTGTATTCTGCGTGCAAATTCGTGCACCGAACCGTGACGCCCGTACCGTTTCGGTTCAATACGACTACATGTACCGTTCCACCCCTAATGTAGATTAAGAAGAATAAATTATAATGGAAGAGTGAATATCACAAGCATGTCTGGATCAAAAGAAGATCTTATATATATTTTTATATAAGTAAATATATTTTTATGAAAATGAACTGACTATAGTGCAAAGTTAATACAAATGTATGTATTACTATACATGTCATAGTCTAGACTCATGAGAATCTCTATATACTCACCCAAACACAATAAATACTGATTCAGCACTGAATGAATGACTAATCCTCAGTCGGTGTTGGTTTGAGATGGGTGTGGCACGGTAATTCATCATATACTCTGTGGGCTTTCTCAGTTAGTTTTTACTACTTTTTCTTTCTTTTTTTAATAAATGTAGCATTATAATATATATTAATGTAAGAGTGAATATCACACACATGTCAATAGCATGTTCATGGATCAAAAGAGAGGGGGAAAACAAGAAATTATATTTTATAAAAGTGAAGTGACAATAGTATAGTGCAAAGTTAACAAAAATCTAGCCATGTATTACTTTATATGTCATAGTCTAGACTCATGAGAATCTCTATATTCACACCCAAACACAATTAAACTACTAATCTGTTGATTTGAGATGGGTGTCACAGAAATTCATTTTATAATCTGTGTGAAAGGCAGTGTTTAAATGATATCATAAGAATATATAATAATACATGGGGGAATTGAATATCACAAGCATGTCTGGATCAAAAGAGAACAGAAAAAAAACAGGAAATTATTATTTCTTTATAAAAAATGGAGCCAATTTTCGGACCAGATTTAGATGAACCACATTTGCATTAAATATGAATTCTGCATCTTTTGCTTCAGGTCAAGTCGGCTGCAGAAAATAAGGCTGGAAAGAAGTTTTCAGTTTTCACTGCCAAATCTTTCACCACGCAGGTTGTGGCCGGGATCAACTATTTTATCAAGGTAAACTGGTTTTGCCATGTTTCTGCATATTCTGTGAATGATATATGTGCTGAAGTGTATTTATAGTGTCTTATCATCTTCAGGTGGATGTAGGAGGAGACTTTGTTCATCTGAGAGTTTATAAATCACTGCCTCACGCTGGAGAAAAACTACAGCTGCACGGGATTCAGACCTCAAAATCTCAGCAGGATCGCATTGAATACTTTTAAACCTATCGCTGTCTCATTCCCTCTCTTCACATACTATACACTTCCATACTGTATAGGTTCAAATATGTGATCTGCTCAATGCTGTTACAAAACTTTTATCCAAATGTACATCATTAAAATGAACCCAATACCGTGCCTTATTTTATGAGGACGAGTTTTATATGATCTTTGTCCACTTTTACAAAAGTTGTATTGAGGTGGAAGAATTACACATGAATACGAGTCATCATTCCAGATCTGTTTTTATAAAAGATGCTGCTTCTAAAATAAAGGGAAATAAATTTCATATTTCAAGTCTTTGTTTCATTTACTCCCTCCCAAAGACTGTGCCAGTAATAATAACATCACCAGTACATTAACTGTTATTACTAAACTCAAACATATGAATTACTTTTAATAGACTAACCTGGGTACATAAACACATTTTAAATGTCATATGAAGAAAAATTCGTACAAATTTAGTGTATAGGCTATAACTTTTACGGTGTATTCTGATAAAACGAGTGAAACCGTTATCTGTTCTAAGATCTGCAACAAAATAAGAACTAGTGAGCTGTTGCAGTTAAATATAATAACTGTTTGTTTCAAGATAAGATGAAAATTTGTACAAAATATAGCTAATCATCATAACTAAATCTGAACAGTTGCACTTGCAAATTAACTACAACATGACAACTGACCACTAAAACGGGTTTCTTTAGCAAACTAGTTATCAACATCGTGAAAATCTCAACCATTAACTTGTTCAGACAAAAGGATTCTGTTTCAAACTGAGGAGGTTTTGAGTGTCATATGTCTCTCTTTCTCATATCCTGTTTCTCATCCTCAGTCAAATTCACTGATGCGTTACATGCAAACGGTTCGCTATATAAAAAGCTCTTAACTTTTGATTATAGTGTCTATATATATATATATATTTGGAGAAGCTAGAAAATCAGACTTAGTTCAATTGTAATTATTTATTTAATCTTTGAGTCTTCAAAGCAAAAAAAAAAAAAAACAGGTTTGTGTCTATTCCTGAAATATCAGCTGGAATATTAGTCTCAAATAATAATCACAATTAAAAACTTTGCAATACAGCTGCATAAATTATAATGGAGTACATCATTTTCGTTCTATCTATCATTCTTTCTTTCTAGCCGTCTATCTATTTCGTTCTGTCGTTCTATCTATCTATGTTAAGTTTGCATTCAGCTGTAGAAACTATAAAATGCTTTTTAAGCATATAAAAGCAACAGGAACATTGTCACGGGAACTTCTGAAAGACGCATGATTAATCACACATGAAGTATTACACTGAGTCACACATCACATTACACCACATCTAAACTTTTACATGTTTTACTATTATGTTACATTTTTTTTAAGCCAAAAGGAGTTAATTTATTTATACTACACTCCCTTTAGAGTTTTCCTTAAATGTCTGGTTATTCCTGGTATTTTGGGACTAAAATATGTTTTGATAATATATGTTAACCCAATGTGATTTCTTGAAAGTCTCAGATAATTAATATTTTTAAAACCTTTGCATAAAGATATTTGTGATATAGTTGCACAAATTCTGAGAGAAAATGATGGCAATGATGACTAGATGGCAACAACATCAAAGACAAAAAAAAACCTGGCACAGCTTGAAACCATAATGCATATTAAGCATAAAACAAAAAGGAACATGAGCTGCCATGTGTCTAAAAGAAAATCTTGATTAATCACACTCGAAACAATTTAACATAATGCATTAATTATGAGTGTTAGGAAATATAACATTGTTCTGTAATAGTTTTTTGGAGAATGATAAGTCCAGGTCCTCAGGTATATTATCTGTACAAAATTTTCTTTACAAAGTTAGAGTTGAAAAATTAGTTGTATAAGTTTTATATTTTTGGTGTTTTATTTCCCTTCTGTTCATTTTTGTGTAGTATAATCCGGTTATTATAATTAATGCAGTGTGTGAGTTTGACCCATTCTGTGAAAATCTTCTATAATTTTTTATACCAATACTCCATTATACCAATAACATAACATTTTTCAAAGTTACAAAAAGGTCCAAGAATGACTGGAATGACCGCTATAGATTCATAACCTGTCTCTGAAGAGCTGCATTATTATAACCTTTATTTATTTTTACCAAGAAAGAAAGCACATTGAGTTCTGGCCAAGATTATCAGCACACAACTCACGTGGGTTTAACAAATAACATTCATCCATACGTATATAGAAAACACACTGGCAAATGTAAAAAATAAAATAGGCAAATCAATACATAAGTTAGGAAAAATCTAAAAACAGATGTTTCTGTCTCCAAGTTTTTTTTAAATCACTTTAAAAATGTCCAATGAAACCAACTCTGTGAGATTCGACTTATTGTGCAGATTATTCCAGCAGAAGAGACTGCAAATTAAAATGTTTTTTCCCAGTTCAGTCCACACCACTGGAACCCACAATAAGAAAATATCCTGAGACCGAACGCTATAACTACCTACAGATTGTTTTACAGATATACACTCACCTAAAGGATTATTAGGAACACCATACTAATACTGTGTTTGACCCCCTTTCGCCTTCAGAACTGCCTTAATTCTACGTGGCATTGATTCAACAAGGTGCTGAAAGCATTCTTTAGAAATGTTGGCCCATATTGATAGGATAGCATCTTGCAGTTGATGGAGATTTGTGGGATGCACATCCAGGGCACGAAGCTCCCGTTCCACCACATCCCAAAGATGCTCTATTGGGTTGAGATCTGGTGACTGTGGGGGCCATTTTAGTACAGTGAACTCATTGTCATGTTCAAGAAACCAATTTGAAATCATTCAAGCTTTGTGACATGGTGCATTATCCTGCTGGAAGTAGCCATCAGAGGATGGGTACATGGGGGCCATAAAGGGATGGACATGGTCAGAAACAATGCTCAGGTAGGCCGTGGCATTTAAACGATGCCCAATTGGCAATAAGGGGCCTAAAGTGTGCCAAGAAAACATCCCCCACACCATTACACCACCACCACCAGCCTGCACAGCGGTAACAAGGCATGATGGATCCATGTTCTCATTCTGTTTACGCCAAATTCTGACTCTACCATCTGAATGTCTCAACAGAAATCGAGACTCATCAGACCAGGCAACATTTTTCCAGTCTTCAACTGTCCAATTTTGGTGAGCTCTTGCAAATTGTAGCCTCTTTTTCCTATTTGTAGTGGAGATGAGTGGTACCCGGTGGGGTCTTCTGCTGTTGTAGCCCATCCGCCTCAAGGTTGTGCGTGTTGTGGCTTCACAAATGCTTTGCTGCATACCTCGGTTGTAACGAGTGGTTATTTCAGTCAAAGTTGCTCTTCTATCAGCTTGAATCAGTCGGCCCATTCTCCTCTGACCTCTAGCATCAACAAGGCATTTTCTCCCACAGGACTGCGGCATACTGGATGTTTTTCCCTTTTCACACCATTTGTACAAAATTCCCTGCCGCGCGCATGCGCGAGGCGAACTTGTTCAGACTTGTTCTGATGTATGCGCAAAAAGTTTCATCCAGCAGCATCCAGCGCACGGAGTTTTTCTGGCATTGTTTCGTTCCTAAAAGTCTTTCTTCTTTGTGTGGTATTGCTGTGCGTTCATAACTACGTAAGTAAAGATATTTAATGTCATTGTAGATGGTTTTTAGAGAGTGTCAGAGCGGGATTCAGTTTATTTTACCTCAGAAATATTATTGTGTCAATATACATACAATCAGGCGCAGTGCTCGCGCGTATTCAGTGAGTCATCATGTTATATTTGTTAACGATGTTTATTCATATGGGAAAGGGAGTTGCTTGTCATGTTGATTCAAATATTCGTCTTATCGGCATATTAATAATGGTACAAAGAGCGCACGGGAGTGCTAGAGCAGCGCACACACTTTGTAATCTGACACCTCTTGTTAGCTGCAGCGGTCTGCATTTAGAGTATATATATATTTCAATACGGTTTACTTTAACCTAATACAACTTTAACCTCTCCATGTATATGTATACAGGCACTATTTGTGTATATTCTGTCATATCATGTTATCATTTATATTTATCATCCTTATTTTGTTCTCTCACAGAGACCACTGTTATATGTATATCCACGCAAACCTGTCTACGACTTGCACTTTTGTGGCTTAATAAATATTGAGAATGGACAAGTTCACTCTGGAGTAGCTGCAGTTCTTTCTAACCGAAGAATTAGGCCAGTTGAGTTCCAACCATCCCACTGCGCGCAGAATATCCCACAAATTTGGTCCTTCGAGCCGGATCGGGACATCAGCTGCGCTATGGCTACATCCAGAGATTACTATGAGGGAGAACAAGTGCCAGATCCTCGTCCAAGTCGTACCCGGCGGGTGCCCACCTACTTGGAGGATTATGTGCTTGATTATCCACTTCCACGTCATGTTCATTCTTCATCAGCAGAGGTCGCTGCAGGAATATCCTATACAAGCCAGGGCACTCCTGCTCACAGGGACAGAGACTTTGAAAATGTAAAGCTTCATCACTTAGAGGCCCGCTGGAAAGATTTAAGCAGTGAGATGAGAGAGCTTCAAATCAGAATGGACAGTGCTAGACAGGTATCTTTTGAATCTAGATCTCCTGCTTACGGACAATATGAGAGTCTTCCTCACATTGAACTAAGTAACACTGGATTAGAACCCTCTATGACTGTAGCATCGTCTCCACAATATGAGGAAACACTTTACCACGAGCCCTCTATGCAGCTGCAGTCGCAACCGAGCCTGCATCCACCTAATATAGCTCGTGTATCTTCCCTGCCTGGGCCACAGCCTCAGAGGCCATGTGCGGAACTCCGACGATCAGACTCATGGCCCCCCACGGCTGCTCAGCCTGTTCAGCCTGCCTATTCTCAGTTACAGCCACAGCATCAGCCGACTCCAGTTCACCCTGCACCAGCCCGCATACAGCCACCGCATCAATCAGCTGTTGTACAGCCTAAGCATTTTTATGTGCAACCCCAACGTCAGCCAGTTGCTATACCAGCTGCGCCAGCCTCACTGCGGTCACAGTACCAGCATATAGGGCCAGCTCCAGTTCCTCCTGTACCAGCGCAAGCAGCGATGCATCCTCAACGCCCTTATCAACCACTGCCTCTGCCTCCACCTCCTTGGCCTGGACCACAACCACAGTATTATTATCCTGTCAATCCTGTGGCACCGGGACTTATGGAAATGGCCATTGCCTCCTCCTATGGCATACCCAAACCAAAACTGGCAGTCTTCTCTTCTGGGAAAGAGAGTGATTTCCTTATGCTCAAGAAA